ATAAATGAGGTGTAAACCAGGCGTGGTGGCTCACATCTGTAATCCCAGCACTTTGTGAGGCCAAAGTGGGCGGATCACTTGAGGTCATGAGGTAAGGAGTTCAAGACCAGCCTGGCCAACATGGTGAAACCTCGTCTCTACTAAAAATACATCCCCATTTCTACTAAAAGTACAAAAATTAGCTGAGTATGTTGGCACACACGTGTAGCCTATAGTTCCAACTACTCAGAGGCTGAGGCAGGAGAATCAACTGAACCTGGAAGGCGGAGGGTGCAGTGAGCTGAGATCACAAGGCTCCATCGCAATCAATCAAAGTATAGAAATAAATCAATCTGATCAACTTACAAAAATACATTCCAAAAAAATAAGTTCCTCAACTGGTACAATGCATTGTCTGTAGTCAGTTTATTTAAAAAATAAGTTCCTCAACTGGTACAATGGACTGTCTATAGTCAGTTTATTTAAAAATCAATTATTGGGCGGCTACAGTGGCTCACGCCTATAATCCCAGCACTTTGGGAGGCTGAGGCGGGCGGATCACAAGATCAAGAGATTGAGACCACCCTGGCCAACACAGTGAAACCCCATCTCTACTAATATAGACAAATTAGCTGGGCGTGGTAGTGCACACCTGTAGTCCCAGCTACTTAAGAAGCTGAGGCAGAATTGCTTGAAGCTGGGAGGGGGAGGTTGCAGTGAGCCAAGATCATGCCACTGCACTCCAGCCTGGCACCTGAAAAAAGCACAAGACTCTGTCTCAAAAAAAAAAAAATCAATTATTGTTTCTTTAAACAATCTTGAAAATGGCTATTTCTTTGGGAAAATAATCCAGAAATAAGCCATTGTTTAAAAACCAGTATTTTCCATCCCAGAACTGGTAGATCTTACTTAATATTCCCTTTAAAATGTTTGTAGAGGTCAGGTGCCATGGCTCGCACCTGTAATCCCAGCATTTTGGGAGGTCAAGGTGGGGTGAATCACCTGAGTTCAAGATTTCAAGACCAGCCTGGCCAACATGGTGAAACCTCGTCTCTACTAAAAATACAAAAATTAGCCAGGCTGGGTGGCATGTGCCTGCAGTCCCAACTACTTGGAAGGCTGAAACTCGAGAAACACTTAAACCCAGGAGGTGGAGGTGCCAAGATGGCACCACTGCACTCCAGCCTGGGCCACCGTAGCAAAGACCCTGTCTCAAAAAAAAAAAAAAAAAAAAGAATAAAAATAAATGTTTGTATAAATCAAGATATCTAAGGGATTTTAATTTTCATGTAAAGCTGTAATGCAGTGTCATTATCATCATATGCACCTCTGAACTAGACTGGAAATCCACTTTGTTGTTGTTGCCTGTAAAACTTAACTTCACGATTTTTGGCTGGTTTGTTTCTTTTTTGAGACGAAGTCAATGTACAATTTCAGCTCACTGCAACCTCTGCCTCCCAGATTCAAGCAACTCTCCCACCTCAGCCTCCACAGTAGCTGGGGCTACAGGCACCTGCCACCATGCTCAGCTAAGATTTTGTATTTTTAGTAGACACAGGGTTTAACCTCATTGGCCAGGATAGTTTCAAACTTCTGACCTCAAGTGATCTGCCTGCCTTGGCATCCCAAAGTGCTGGGGTTACAGGTGTGAGCCACTGCACTCGGCCAATTTCAGTTTTTAATGTATTACTATTAATTGTGTTTATCTTTTTTTTTTTTTTTTTTAGACAGTCTCGCTTTTGTCGTCCAGGCTGGAGTGCACTGGTGCAATCTTGGCTCACTGCAACCTCCGCCTCCTGGGTTCAAGCAATTCTCCTGCCTCACCCTCCTGAGTAGCTAGGACTACAGGTGCAAGCCACCACGCCCAGCTAATTTTTTTTTTTTTTTTTTTGTATTTTTAATAGAGATGGGATTTCACCATGTTAGCAAAGATGGTCTTGATCTCCTGACCTCAAGTGATCCACCTGCCTTGGCCTCTCAAAGTGCTGGGATTACAGGCGTGAATCACCTTATCCGGCCTTCTTTCTTTCCTTCTTTTTTTTTTTTTGAGACGGTGTCTTGCTCTTGTTACCCAGGCTGGAGTGAAATGGTGCGATCTCGGCTCACTGCAACCTCCGCCTCCTGGGTTCAGGCAATTCTCCTACCTCAGCCTTCTGAGTAGCTGGGATTACAGGCGTGCACCACCATACCCAGCTAATTTTTGTATTTTTAGTAGAGACGGGGTTTCACCTTGTTGACCAGGATGGTCTGATCTCTTGACCTCATGATCCGCCCACTTCAGCCTCCCAAAGTGCTGGGATTACAGGCATGAGCCACCGCGCCCGGCTTTCTTTCTTTCTTTTAAAGGACTCTGGGCCAGGTGCAGTGGCACACGGCTGTAATCCCCGCTACTCACGAGGCTGAGGCAGGATTGAGAATTATCAATCCATCAATAAATGACTGTTGCCCAGGCTGCAGTGCAGTGATATAATCACAGCTCACCACCTCAAACTGCTGGGCTCCAGTGATCCTCTCACTTCATTCTCCTATGCTAGAATTAAAGGCATAAGCTACTTGTTAATTCATGTGGTTTTTGTTTTGTCTTTTGTTTGGAGACAAAGTCTCACTGGAGTACACTGGCACCATCTCAGCTCACTGCAACCTCCACCTCCCAAGTTCAAGCAATTCTCTGCCTCAGCCTTCCAAGTAGCTGGGATTACAGGTGCCCACCATGACACCCGGCTAATTTTTTTTTAGTAGAGATGACGTTTCACCATCTTGGCCAGCCTGGTCTTGAACTCCTGACCTCATGTGATCCACCCACCTCAGCCTCCCAAAGTCCTGGAATTTTTTAACATGAGCCACCGCGACCAGCCTAATTCATATTTTTGTTGTTGGGTTTTTTGCTTTTTTTTTTTTTAAGATGGGGTTTCACCATGATGACCAGGCTGGTCTTGAACTCCTGACCTCTGGTGATCCACCCACCTCAGCCTCCCAAAGTGCTAGGATTACAGGCGTGAGCCACCGTGCCCGGCTTTTGCTTTTTTTTTTTTTTTTTTTTTGGAGACAGAGTCTCACTCTATTGCTAGAATAGAGAGCAGTGGCACAATCTTGGCTCACTGCAACCTTCACCTCCCGGGTTCAAGCAATTCTCCTGCGTCATCCTCCCGAGTAGCTGGGACTACAGGCATGCACCACCATGCCCAGCTAATTTTTATATTTTTACTAGAGATGGGGTTTCACCATGTTGGACAGGATGGTCTCCATCTCTTGATGTCGTGATCCACCCACCTCGGCCTCCCAAAGTGCTGGAATTATAGGCATGAGCCACTGCACTTGGCCCCAATTCATGTTTTTTATACAAGCATAATAGTAATCTTTATTATAAATTAAGGAATATTTAATCTTTTTTCTTTTCCCAAGACAGAGTCTTGCTCTGTCGCCAAGAGCTGGAGTGCAATGGCGTAATCTCTGCTCACTGCAACCTCCGCCTCCCAGGTTCAAGCAATTCTTTGCCTCAGCCTCCCGAGCAGCTGGGATTACAGAAGCACGCCACCGTGCCTGGCTAACTTTGGTATTTTTTAGTAGAGACAGGGTTACACCATGTTGGCCATGCTGATCTCAAACTCCTGACCTGGTGATCCACTCACGTAGGCCTCCCAAAGTGTTGGGATTACAGGCGTTGAGCCACTGGGCCAAGCCAGGAATACCAAATCTTAAAGTAAAGAAAAACCTGTGGTAATTATAGACCTCTATGAAAACCACCATTACCAATACAAATTTGGAATATACTAAAGGTTTTTGTGTATGTATATATAATACATACGTATATATTCATGTATTCTTTCACGTTTGCCAGGTGTTGAAAACTGAAAACCAGTATTTATAAAAACAGATAAAAAACTGAGTCATTAAAATTTGCCATGTGGTGAAAAGTTTACTTGGTAGCTTAGGGCTGAAGGAAGGATGAATTAGATGATAAAGAAATGTCACAAAGGGCTTCACAGATAAATAAATGGAGATAAACTAAGAAAATGATAGTGAGATATGGAGGATGAGACAGGATCACATAGGTCTTCTATAAACGGCATAATGTGTGATTGATTTTAGCTCAAAGTACAACTAAGTAGAGAAGATGAGGAGAGTAGATATTTAAAGATATAATGTTCCATAATTTTTCCAGAGTGAACAAATGAATTATTAAAGTCAGGAAGCCAAACAATCCCCATTTTGGATGTGTACAACATAAATTGTATTTGTTTTGGATGTGCAAAACCATGTATTTTGGCTGCTTTTTAGAATTTCTCTAGCTTTGGTGGCTGTTTCACCAAGAAGTGTTTAAATTTGAACCACCACCAAAGACGGAGAATCTCGAAAAAGCAGCCAAAATAAACTTTCACTATGAAGGAACACTTAGCAGAACGACAACAGACTGCTCAACAATCATAAGTGGAAGTATAAGACAAAGAGCTAATATTTGTAAAGTGTCAAAAAAAAATGTAACTGCCAACAAAGGGCTTCGTGTGCTTTGGAAATAGCTTTCAAATAAAATAATGGGGGAAAAAAGTAGTTGCTAGTGGAAAGGGAAGGAATGGCATAACAGGTTATTCTTTTTTTTTTTTTTTTTGAGACAGAGTTTCGCTCTTGTTACCCAGACTGGAGTGCAATGGTGCGATCTCGGCTCACCACAACCTCCGCCTCCTGGGTTCAAGCAATTCTCCTGCCTCAGTCTCCCGAGTAGCTGGGATTACATGCACGCACCACCATGCCTAGCTAATTTTTGTATTTTTAGTAGAGACGGGGTTTCACCATGTTGACAGGATGGTCTCGATCTCTTGACCTCGTAATCCACCCGCCTCGGCCTCCCCAAAGTGCTGGGATTATAGGCATGAGCCACCGCACCAGCACCCCGGTTATTCTTAGAGGCTTATTAGTACTATTTGATCTTAAAACCATACGTATAGAGTACTTTGGATACATATACTTTATATACAAAGTCCTTATTACAACTTACTATAACCACCGTAAGCCAAAGATAGTACCTTGGGGTGAGGAAAGATGCTCTTGCAGCTTCTCCTGAGAGAGGAGTCCCAAGTAGCTGAGAACAACATACTTTGTTTCATAGTGAAATCCCAGAGGCACAGTAGAAGAGGACGCCATTGAATTGGCTGGTGGAGCTCCAAAAAGGTCTACTTACGGATGTATAAAACCTAAGAACAGAAAAGTAATTTTTTCACTTTAAAGATTATTACACGCAACTTTAACGGTTGTTTCACACCAAAATGTCTTGTGTCACTCTAAGAGTTTTCTTTTTTTTGAGATGTAGTCTTGCTCTTGTTACTGAGGCTAGAATGCAGGACGCGATCTCACGGCAACCTCTGCCTTCCGGGTTCAAACGATTCTCCTGCCTCAGCATCCCAAGTAATTGAGATTACAGAAGCCCACCACCACACTCTGCTAATATTTGTATTTTTAGTAGAGACGGGATTTCACCACGTTGGCCAGGCTGGTTTTGAACTGACCTCAGGTGATCTGCCTGCCTCGGCCTACCAAAGTGCTGGGATTATAGCCGTGAGCCACATGCCTGGCCCAATCTTAAGAGAAACAACTTTTTATTTTTAAAACAAAAAATAATATGGGCTGCTTTAAGATCTCAAATATCCAATTAAAAAGAGGTTCAAGGCCAGGTGCGGTGGCTCATACCTGTAATCTCAACACTTTGGGAGGCCAATGCAGGTGGATCACCTGAGGTCAGGATTTTGAGACCAGCCTCACCAATACAGTGAAACCCTGACTCTACTAAAATTACAAAATTGGCCATGGTGGCAGGTGCCTATTATCCCAGCTACTCAGGAGGGTGAGGCAGGAGAATAACATAAACACGGGAAACAGAGGTTGCAGTGAGCAGAGATTGCACCACTGCACTCCAGCCTGGGGGACAAGAGAGAAATTCCGTCTCAGAAAAAAATGAGATGGGGGGAGGGGGAGGAGGAGGGGAAAGGGAGGAAGGAGAGGGGAGGAGAGGAAGAATCTGAAACAAATTAAGAGTGGCTATGTAACAGTAACATAAAAATCTATTTGGGGCTGGGCGTGGTGGTTCATGCCTGTAATCCCAGCACTTTGGGAGGCTGAGGCAGGCAGACCACCTGAGGTCGGGAGTTCAAGACCAGCCTGACCAACATAAAGAAAACCCATTCACTATCAAAAAACAAAGTTAGTCGGGCATAGTGGTGCATGCCTGTAATCCCAGCTACTCGGGAGGCTGAGGCAGGAGAACTGCTTGAACCCAGGAAGCAGAGGCTGCAGTAACCCGAGATGGCACCATTGCACTCCAGCCTGGGCAACAAAAGCAAAACTCTGTCTCAATAAAACAAAAAATCTACTTGGAATGGTTAAACAACATCTGTTTTAAAAAATACAGGCCAGCGTCCTAGTTCACACCTGTATTCCCAGCACTTTAGGAAGCCGAGGCAGGCAGATCACTTGAGGCCAGGAGTTCAAGAACAGTCTGGCCAACATGGTGAAACCCCATCTCTACTAAAAATACAAAACTAAGCCGGGTGGGGAGGCAGGCACCTGTAATCCCAGCTATTTGGGAGGCTGAGACAGGAGAATCACCTGAACCTGAGAGGTGGAGGCTGCAGTGAGCTGAGATCGTGCCACTGCACTACAGCCTGGGAAACAAGAGCAAAACTCCGTCTCAAAAAAACAAAAACAAAAAACAGCTATTTTTTGCACAATTCAAACTATTAAACATATTTACGTAACCCATCTGTTTCTTTCTGTGCCTTACTCCTTTTAGTTTGTTACTCTATTAAGTTTCAAGTAGAGCTGCCCCTTGGTACCCACGGAAGATCGGTTCCAGGATAACTGCAGATACCAAAATCCTCAGATGCTCAAGTTCCTTACACAAAATGGTGCGGTATTTGTTTATAACCTACTCACTTCCTCCCTCACATACTTTTAAGTCATTTCTAGATTACTTATAATACATTACGTAACGCAATGTGAAGGCTATTTAAATAGGTGTTATGCTGCACTGGTTTTTATTGGTATCGTTTTTATTGTTATTTGTTGTTTTCTCCCCAAATATTTTCCAAACAAGATTGCTGAAATCTGCAAATATGGAAACTGTGGATAAAGAGAGGCCAACTCTGGCTGTCAGCCAGACAAGCAGCTGAAGGAAGCAAAGGGTAACTTAATGCTGTGTTTATGTATCTTTCAGTGTCATCTCCAGAACCAGCCAAAAATAAAACATCCGTGAACCTTCAACAACAAATGCATATCCACAATTCTACAATATATGGGTTTCTTTTCTTTTTTTTTTTTTTTTGAGACGGAGTTTCGCTCTTGTTACCCAGGCTGGAGTGCAATGGCGCGATCTCGGCTCACCACAACCTCCGCCTCCTGGGATCAGGCAATTCTCCTGCCTCAGCCTCCCGAGTAGCTGGGGTTACAGGCACACACCACCATGCCCAGCTAAGTTTTGTATTTTTAGTAGAGACGGGGTTTCACCATGTTTGCCAGGATGGTCTCGATCTCTTGACCTCGTGATCCAGCCGCCTCGGCCTCCCAAAGTGCTGGGATTACAGGCTTGAGCCACCGCGCCCGGCCTAAACTAGATTTCTATTACAAGTACCAGTCGAACTTTGAGAATGCTACCAGTGCTGACTAGGATGTAGGAATGAGACACACTTTATGAAACATCATCGCAAGGTACACAGCAGCTATTAAACCCTACTCTAAGTCGGAAATGGTGGCTCAAGCCTGTACTTCCCAGCACTTTGGGAAGCTGAGGTGGGTGGATTGAGGCCAGGAGTTTGAGACCAGCCTGGCCAACACAGTGAAACCCCCTCATCTCTACTAAAAATAGAAAAAAATTAGTTGGGCGTGGTGGTGTGTGCCTGTAATTCCACCTACTAGGGAGGCTGAGGCAGGAGAATCACGTGAACCTGGGAGGCAAAGGTTGCAGTAAGCTGATATCGTGCCTTTGCACTCCAGCCCTGGCAAGAAACTCTATGTCAAAAAAAAAAAAAAATACAAAAGTCAGAGAGGTGCGGTGGGGTGCGTCTGTAGTCCCAGCTACTCGGGAGGCTGAGGCAGGAGAATCACGTGAACCCGGGAGGCGGAGGTTGCAGTGAGCTGAGATCCACCACTGCACTCCAGCCTGGGCAACAGAGCAAGACTTGGCCTCAAAAAAAACAAGCAAAGAAAAAGTGAACGGGCCCAACACAGTGGCTCATGCCTGTAATCCGAGCACTTTGGGAGGCCAAGGTAGGTGGATCACGACATCAAGAGATGGAGATTATCCTGGCCAACACAGTGAAACTCCGTCTCTACTAAAAATACAAAAATTAGCCAGGCATGATGGCAGGCTCCTGTAGTCCCAGCTATTCCGGAGGCTGAGGCCGGAGAATCACTGGAACCGGGAGGCAGAGGTTGTTGCAGTGAGCCGAGATCGCACTACTGCACTCCAGCCTGGCCACAGAGCAAGACACTGTCTTAAAAAAAAAAAAGCAGCAAACAACAACACAACGAAAGAAAAACATTAATAACGTTTCTTGGCTATCAGTGCTTTAATCTCATGAGTCACTGGTAGCTTGAACAGGAATTTTTTTTTAAGTTCCACAAGTTAACATGAGCCCCTATCTATTCTCTAATCCATGCTTTACCAGCTCCTATTAAATTCTAGGACTCTCTCTGAAAGAAAGGAGGTAAAATAGTCCTAAAAAAAAATCATAGGCCAGGGGTGGTGGCTCATATCTGTATTCCCAGCACTTTGGGAGGCCAAGGTGGGAGGATCACTTGAGGTCGGCAATTCCAGACCAGCCTGACCAACACGGAGAAATCCCGTCTCTACTAAAAATGCAAAAACTTAACTGGGCATGGTGGCGCATGCCTGTAATCCCAGCTACTCAGGAAACTGAGGCAGGAGAATCGTGTGAACCTGGGAGGCAGAGGTTGCACTCCAACCTAAACAACAAGAGCAAAACTCCGCCTCAAAAAAAAAAAAAAAAAACCCTACAAAATGCCCAGGCGCGGTAGCTCATGCCTGTGATCCCAGCACTTTGGGAGGCCGAGGCAGGAGGATCACTTGAGGTCAGGAGTTCGAGACCAGCCTGACCAACATGAAGAAAGAAACCCCATCTCTAATAAAAATACAAAATCAGCCGGGTGTGGTGGCACATGCCTGTGATCCCAGCTACTCGGGAAGCTGAGGCAGGAGACTCACTTGAATCCAGGAAATGGACGCTGAGGTGAGGCATCATTGCACTCCAGCCTGGGCAACAAGAACGAACTCCTTCTCAAAAAATAAATAAAAACTGCCCATCAATTGATTTTCTTTTTGAGACAGTCTCGCTCTGTTGCCCAGGCTGGAGTACAGTAGTGCAATCTTGGCTCACTGCAACCTCTGCCTCCCAGTTTCAAGGGATTCCCCTGCCTCAGCCTCCGGAGTAGCTGGGACTACAGACATACACCACCATGCCCGGCTAATTTTTTGCATTTTTAGTAAAGACAGGGTTTCACCATGTTGTCCAGGATGCTCTCGATCTCCCGACCTGGTGATCTACCTGCCTTGGCTTCCCAAAGTGCTGGGATTACAGGCGTGAGCCACTATGCCCAGCCCAACTGATTTTCAAAATGTGGTGTCCACACAATGGAATATAATGCAGCAATAAATTGTAATGAAGTACTAATACATGCTACATCTTAGATAAACTCTGACAACATTATGCTAAGTGAAAGAAGCCAGATAGGCCAGTCATGCTGGCTCATGCTTGTAATCCCAGCACTTTGGGAGGCCAACGTGGGTGGATCACCGGTGGTCAGGAGTGAGACCAGCCTGGCCAACATGGTAAAACTCTGTCTCTACTAAAAACACAAAAATTAGCCGGGTGAGGTGGCCCGAGCCTGTAATCCCAGCTACTCAGGAGGTTGAGTTAGGAGAAACGCTTTAACCCAGGAGGTGGAGGCAGTGAGCCGAGACTGCACCACTGGACTCCAGCCCAGGCAACAGAGCAAGACTTCATCTCAGAAACAGAAAAAAAAGTCAGACAAAAAATGCCACATATTATACGATCCCATTTACGTGAAATCTCTAGAGGAGGCAACTCCGTAGACTCAGAAAGTAGATGAGTGGTTGCCCGAGGGTGGGGGTTTGGGGACCAGTAATAAAGAATGACTGCTAGTGGGTATGCGAGTCTCTTTTGGAGTGATGAAAATGACTGTGGTGGCGGCTGCACAACTCTGTGAATACACTAAAAAGCACTGAATTGTACACTTGCTGAGTTGTATGGCGTGTTAATCATATTCCAATAAAGCTGTTAAAACAATCAGCTACTCTGATGCCTTTGCAGTTCATAAACGAGATGACCAGGTTTTCATGCTAACGTACGACACGTGCCTCCCTCAAACCTTGTCACCTCAGGGGCTCATTGCCACATTACTGTCTGAGGAGAAAAAGAGAAAAAAAAATCAACGACTCTGAGAATAGCACCCACCCCCATTCTGTATGTATATTAAACAAGAACTCTTGGTGACCATTTGTTTGGAATAAGATACAAACCAAAATCCTGTCTGAAAAATAATAAACGCAGACTGGAAAACTACTAAGTGAAAGTTTAAAACCTGTGTTTTATATGCCTAAAGTATTTCATAATAAAATATATATATATATATGGATTTAGTAATAAATCCATATATATTTTTTAGGCAGGGTCTCTGTCACCCAGGCTGAAGTGCAGTGGCACAGTCACAACTCACAGCAGCTTTGACCTCCCAGACTCAAACAATCCTCCTCCCGCCTCAGTCTCCTGAGTAGCTGGGACCCATGCCATTTTTTTGTTTGTTTGTTTGTTTTTGAGACAGAGTCTCCCTCTATCACCCAGCTGGAGTGCAGTGGCGCAATTCCGGCTCACTCCAACTTCTGTTTTCCTGTTTCAAGCAACTCTCCTGCCTCAGCCTCCCAAGTAGCTGGGACTACAGGCACGAACCACCACGCCCCGCTAATTCTTTGTACTTTTAGTGGAGACGTGTTTCACCATATTGGCCAGGATGGTCTCGATCTCTTGACCTCGTGATCTGCCTGCCTTGACCTCCCAAAGTGCTAGGATTACAGGCGTGAGCCACTGCGCCCGGCAATTTTTTCTTTTTTAAAATTTTTTGTGAAGACAAGGTCTCCTTATGTTACCCAGGCTGGTCTTGAACTGCTGGGTTCAAACAATCCTTATGTTGCCTAGAATGGTCTGGAACTCCTGGGTTCAAGCAATCCTGCCTGGGCCTCCTAAAGTGCTGGGATTACAGGTGTGAGTCATCTGTAATCCCAGCCAAAAATAATTGTTTTAATAGTATTACTTTGCAAACCACTTGTCGTAAAAGCTTGGTGTGTGATCTTTAATAAATATTGATTAGATTATGTGCTAGTAAACACAAGTCTGCTTACCAGACTGTTGGATACAGCCTGACACATCTTTCAATTGAACTCAACTACTGGGCCTTCCTGTAGGAGACAGCTTAAAAGAAAATAAAAAGTGAAACCAACTACTGAATATACTCTTCCACGTAAGAAAATGAGTCATTTGAGGCCGGGCGCGGTGGCTCAAGCCTGTAATCCCAGCACTCTGGGAGGCCGAGGCGGGTGGATCACGAGGTCGAGAGATAGAGACCAACCTGGTCAACATAGTGAAACCCCGTCTCTACTAAAAATATTTAAAAAAAAAAAAATTAGTTGGGCATGGTGGCGGGTGCCTGTAATCCCAGCTACTCGGGAGGCTGAGGCAGGAGAATTGCCTGAAACCAGGAGGCGGAGGTTGCGGTGAGCCAAGATCGCGCCATTGCACTCCAGCCTGGGTAACAAGAGCGAAACTCCGTCTCAAAAAAAGAAAAAAAATACACAATAGTACCGGACCATTCAGAGTAAAAAGATTTTCAAAACCCTTAACTCCCTATTACCAAATGAAGAATACTTCATTTGTGTGTGTGTGTGTGTGTGCATGTGCGGGGGGTGTTAAAAATGAAAAGAATACTTCACAGGTAGCGGGGGCAGTTAAAAAAAAAAAAGGTGGCGGGGTTTAGTGGCTCAGGTCTGTAATCCCAGCACTATGGGAGGCAGAAACAAGTGGATCAAAAGGTCAGGAGATCAAGACCATACTGGCCAACATGGTGAAACCCCGTCTCTAGTAAAATGTAGAAAAAAGGCCGGGCGCGGTGGCTCACGCCTATAATCCCAGCACTTTGGGAGGCCAAGGCGAGTGGATCACGAGCAAGAGATCGAGACCATCCTGGTCAACAAGGTGAAACCCCGTCTCTACTAAAAATACAAAAATTAGCTGGGCATGGTGGTGGGCGCCTGTAGTCCCAGCTACTCGGGAGGCTGAGGCAGGAGAATTGCTTGAACCCAGAAGGCGGAGGTTGCAGTGAGCCGAGATCGTGCCATTGCACTCCAGTCTGGGAACAAGGGCGAAACTCCGTCTCAAAAAAAAAAAAACAAAAACAAAAACTAGCTGTCCCAGCCACTCGGGAGGCTGAAGCTGAAGCAGGGGAACTGTTTGAACCCAGAAGGCGGAGGTTGCAGTGAGCCAAGATCGCGCCACTACACTCCACCCTGGCAACAGAGCAAGTCTCTGTCTCCAAAAAAAAAAAGTATCACCTAGTGTGGTGGCTCACGCCTGTAATCCCAGCACTTTGGGAGGCTGAGGCAGGGGGATCACCTGAGGTCGGGAGTTCGAGGCCATCCTAACCAACACGCTGAAACCTCGTCTCTACTAAAACTACAAAAAAGAGCCCGACCGGCGCACACACGCTGCAAGCCGCTGGCGCTCGGTGAAATAATTAAAAAAAAAAAAAAAAACTACAAAAAAAAAAAATTAGCCGGGCATGCTGGCATATGCCTGTAATCCCAGCTACTCCGGAGGCTGAGGCAGGAGAATCGCTTGAACCCAGCGGGCAGAGGTTGCGGTGAGCCAACATCGTGCCATTGCACTCCAGCCTGGGCAAATAAGAGGGAAACTCAAGTCTAAAAACGAAAAAAAAGGGAAGATATCCGAAGGGTGTGGCAACCCATCCAAGGTCACACAAGTCAGAACAGAGAGCAACATTCTGGTTTATACTAAACCTCCAGGGGAGATCTTACAATTTTGCCAAAAAGGTTTTTGGGTTTTTTTTTTTTTTTTTTTACGTAACAAGAAAGAAAACAAGTGACGAGGGAGAGCTGTCAGCTTAGTTCACAACTTCTAAACGGAGACAGTGAGATGGCTATTTTGGATAAACAAACACTTGTGCGGGGAGTGGCTAGGAGCTAACCAAAGCCATCAGCCAACGGCACGTGAACAACTGGCCAGATCGCCCGATTTTCAACGCTGGGTTAGAGCCTCCACTCAGTCGTCATGAGGCAGGAAACAGGATCTTTACAGAATGGTGGGAGGATAAATCAGGGGAAAAATGACTCCGTGTGAACGGTATTGCCTCCAGGGACAAGAAAGCAGTTTTTCCTGAAAAAATAATGGGTGTGAAAACAGCAGTGAGTCAAGGTTAAGAAACAAGACTTCTAACAATCTCCGAGAAGAAACCACTGAGACTGACAAAGCTCATCCAAGTGTTCTAAGTGAATCGCATGAAAACCTTTCCCTTAACCAAAGAGAAGTCACCGTTCCCCAGTCTAGCCCTAAAAATGGACCCGGGTTAACCACGTGAAGCTGTCTGGGGAAGGACAGCGGCGTGGAGCCAGGGCCGAGCTCCTCCGTCGCCTGCAGCCCACGGCCGGAGAAGCCAGCTCAGCGGCGGCGCCGCGCGGCCAGGTCCGGTCACCGTGAAACGGACCCTTGACCTCCCAACACCTTCGGGCGAAGGAGCACGGATGGAGACAGAGACACTCACACTCAACGCGTCGTCGGAACCACTGGGGAGTCGGTGGCTCGATACGGTCTCTGGGCACCCTCCTACCCAGGTGAAAACCGCTTCCTCACCCAGCTCGGCCTTCCCAGAGCCCCAGTCCTCTCACCTGGCCCTGGCCCCTGCCCCAGAAGAGGTGAAAGAGGCGGCGGCGGCGGCTGCTTCCGACAGGGTCTCCCAGCGGCGGCGGCTGCTCCGACCCGCGGCCCTAATCTACCGCCGCCGCCATGTTGGAGGGTGAGGTCACCCCAGCGTGCCTTCGTCACGGCCGGCGTCGAGGCGGGCCCGGGGCTCCAGAGAGCCGGAAGGGGCGGGGCAGGCATCCGGAGCGGAAGCACGGACCACGGAGGGCTGGAGGTCTCTCCGCGCAGACGTGACCTGAAGAGCCAAACCCTCCTAGCCCGCTCAAATCTGTGATTGCTGACGTTATGGAAGTTCCGTTTCCTCAGTCATTTCCGGAGTCGAGGGGTCGGGGTTGACTGTCCGATCACTGAGATGGAGCTTGAAGGGCTGGCGATTCCAGGAAAAGATGCCTCGCTGCAGGCACACGCTGTGTTCAGTTCCGCAAACATGTATTGAGTTTCAAGTGCTTGCAAGGGAGCGGTTCGAATAACTGTCTACACAGCCACGACAGCTGCGGGGTTCGCAGCTAGTTGGGCCAGATGGTCGTTGAGGGTTGGGAAGGAATTCCGGGGAGGGGACGTAGTGGGGTCGTGTAGAGAGGGCGTCCTAGAGCGAAGGGACCTGCCTGAGCAGAAGTGCCACGGTAAGAAGAAGTCTTGGCCGGGCGTGGTGGCTCCCAGCACTTTGGGAGGCCGAGACGGGCGGATCACAAGGTCAAGAGATCGAGACCGTCCTGGTCAACATGGTGAAACCCCGTCTCTACTAAAAATACAGCTACTCGGGAGGCTGAGGCAGGAGAATTGCTTGAACCCAAAAGGCGGAGGTCGCGGTGAGCCGAGATCGCGCCACTGCAATCCAGTCTGGGCAACAACAGCGAAACTCTTGTCTCCAAAAAAAAAAGGAAGTCTTAACGGTAGTAATACGTTTTTCTTAACAGTACCTAGCATGGCGCCTGGAACATACTTGTGTTAATGGATGTTTGTTTACTTGCATCGAAGAGTTCTTTGGAGGAGCCACGGAAGGTACCTAGGAGAGGAGATATAATGTGTTTTAGGAAGATCAAATTACCCGTGGCGTGTGCACTGAATTGGAACAAGGAGAGCATTGACAATAAGGAGCCGGAAGACTGAGCCAGATCAGAAGTGATAAAATCCTTACAGGGAGTGACTGCCAGTGGGTACAGGGTTTCTTTCGGCGTGACGGTTGCACGACTCTTTGAAATACTGAAAACTAGTTGGCCGAGCGCGGTGGCTCACGCCTATAATCCCAGCACATTCGGAGGCCGAGGCGGGTGGATCACTAGGTTAAGAGATGAGACCATCCTGGTCAACAAGGTGAAACCCCGTCTCTATAAAAATACAAAAATTAGCTGGGCATGGTGGCGCGCGCTTGTAGTCCCAGCTACTTGAGAGGCTGAGGCAGGAGAATTGCTTGAACCCAGGAGGTGGAGGTTGCGGTGAGCCGAGATCGCGCCATTGCACTCCAGCCTGGGTAACAAGAGCGAAACTCCGTCTCAAAAAAAAAAAAAGCAGCCCCACCAAAACCTGCCCAATAGCACATTGCCCCGCCCAGGGCCCACTCCCCCGAGCAGCCCGCTCACCGGAAATCCCGCCTACCTACCAAAGCAGCTCACCCTGGCCACGTTGTGTTTCTCCACAGCCAATCAAACCCTTCACTCCCTATAAATCCCCACGCCCCAGAGGAGTCAGGTGCGACTTCTCTGGCCTCCCCTTCCTGGACCATAGAACCTCGCCCTGGAGCTGAATAAATGGGCATTTAATCGTTGTTATACTGGCCTCAGTTTCCTCATTTTAAACTTGGCAATAACCCCCGGCGAATTTTTGTATTTTTAGTAGAGACCGGGTTTCACTTTGTTGATCAGGCTGGTCTCGAACTCCTGACCTTGGGTGATACCCCGCCTGCTTTGACCTCTCAAAAAGTGCTGGGATTACAGGCGTGAGCTACCTCTCCCGGCTGAGTCTCCTGGTCTTTTTAATGTGACATTGAAGTGTAGACATATTCACACAATGAAAATTACTCAGCAATGAAACAAAAATGAACTTTTTAGTATATATGACAATAAGACTAATCTCAAACATTCTGTTGAGCAAAAAAAAAAAAAAAAACCGAAAAATAAAACTAGGCACTGTGGTTCACTCCGGTAATCCCAGCACCTTGGGAAGACAAGGTGGGTGGATTACCTGAGGTCAGGAATTCGAGACCTGCCTGGCCAATATGGTGAAAACCTGGTCTCTACTAAAAATACAGAAAGTTATCCGGATGTGGTAGCATGCACCTGTAATACCAGCTTCTTGGGAGGCTGAGGCAAGAGAATCGCTAGAGCCGGGAAGGTGGAAGTTGCAGTGAGCCAAGATCTTGCCATTGCACTCCAGCCTGGGCAACAAGAACAAAACTTCGAGGCCTGGCGCAGTGACTCATTCCTGTAATCCCAGCACTTTGGGATTCACCTCAGGTCGGGAGTTCCAGACCAGCCTGAGGTCGGGCAGATCACCTGAGGTCAGGAGTTCCAGACCAGCCTGACCAACATGGAGAAAACCCATTTCTACTAAAAATGCAAAATTAGCCAGGCACCTGACTATAATCCCACCTACTTGAGAGTCTGAGGCAGGAGAATTGCTTGAACCTGGGAGGCAGAGGTTGCGGTGAGCTGAGATCTCACCACTGCACTCCAGCCTGGGCAACAAGAGCAAAACTCTGTCTCAAAGAAAAAGAAAAACAAAAAATGGGCACACTTTGTAATTCCATTTTGATTTTTCAGACGGAGTCTCGCTCTGTAGCTCAGGCTGGAGTGCAGTAGCGCAATTTCAGCTCACTGCAACTTCTGCCTCCCGGGTTCCGGTTCAAGGAATTCTCCTGCCTCAGCCTCCCAAGTAGCTGGGACTACAGGCACGAGCCACCATGCCCAGCTAATTTTTGTATTTTTTAGTAGAGACAGGGTTTCACCATGTTGGCCAGGCTGGTCTCGAACTCCTGACCTCATGATCCACCTGCCTCGGCCTCCCAGAGTACTGGGATTACAGGCATGAGCCACTGCACCTGGACTGTAATTCCATTTCATATGAATTTCAGGCGCAGGCAAAATTAATCAGAGACGGTAGAAGTCGGCACAGGGTGGCCTGGGGCGGAGTGGGTGTGGGATTGACTGGAATGGGACAGGAGGGAACTTGCTGGGGTGATGGAAATATTCTGTATCTTGACTGGTGATCACAAAGGTATAAACATCCATCAGAACTCATCTAATTCTACTTTTTTTTTGAGACAGAGTCTTGCTCTGTCATACAGGCTGGAGTGCAGTGGCACAATCTCGGCTCACTGCAACTTCCGCCTCCTGAGTTCAATTTTCCTGCCTTAGCCTCCCGAGCAGCTGGGATCACAAATGCCTGCCAGCACACCCAGCTAATTTTTTTTTTTTTTAATTTTTAGTAGAGACCGTGTTTCATCATGTTGGCTAGGCTGGTCTGGAACTCCTGACCTCAAGAGATCCACCTGCCTCAGCCTCCCAAAGTACTGGAATTACAGGCAGGAGCCACTGCACCCAATCCTAATTTTACTTTTAAGGTCTATGCAATTCAGTGTATATAAACTTTACCTCAAAAAACTTTCAAAAATGTCACATGAAAAAAAACAAAAACAAAAAACAATGAAAAAATGTCACATGACATAATTTATTTTGGGGGCTAGTTATGTTACCAATTTGATACATACTTCAGTTAATTTCTTTCACAATACTTTCAGTCTTTGCCTTTATTTTATTTATTTATTTATTTATTTATTGTAATTTTTTTTGAGACAGAGTCTTGCTCTGTCGCTGGGCTGGAGCACAGTGGCGCAGTCTCAGCTCACTGCAATCTCCACCTCCCAGATTCAAGCGGTTCTTCCACCTCAGCCTCCCAAGTAGCTGGGACTACAGGCACGTGCCAACACTTGGCTAATTTTTTTTTGTATTTTTAGTAGAAACAGGGTTTCACCATGTTGGCCAGGATGGTTTCGATCTCTTGACCTCGTGATCCACCCTCCTCGGCCTCCCAAACTGCTGGGGTTACAGGTGTGAGCCACCACACCCAGCCATTTATTTTTTGAGATGGAGTCTGGCTCTGTTGCCCAGGCTGGAGTGCAGTGGTGTGATCTTGGCTCACTCCAACCTCAGCCCCCTGGGTCCAAGCGATTCCCCTGCCTCAGCCTCCCGAGTAGCTGGTGCGTGCCACCATGCCTGGCTAATTTTGGTATTTTTTTGGCAGAGACAGGGTTTCACCATGTTGGTCAGGCTGATCTCCAACTCCTGACCTCGTGATCTGCCGGCCTCAGCCTCCCAAAGTGCTGGGATTACAGGCGTGAGCAACCAAGCCCAGTCTTACTTTATTTTATTTTTCTGAGATGGAGTCTCGCTCTTGTTGGCCCAGGCTGGAATGCAGTGGCACCATCTCACCTCACTGCAACCTCCACATCCTGGGTTCAAGCGATTCTCCTGCCTCAACCTCCTGAGTAGCTGGGATTACAGGCCCACACCACCACAACCGGCTAGTTTTTGTGTTTTCAGTAGAGACGGGTTACACCATGTTGGCCAGTCTGGTCTTGAACTCCTGACCTCATGATCTACCACCTCAGCCTTCCAAAGTGCTAAATTACAGGTGTGAGCCACTGCACTCGGCTTGCTATTTATTTATTTGTTTATTTATTTATTGAGATGGAGTTTTGCTCTTGTTGCCCTAGGCTGGAATTCAATAGCACAATCTAGGTTCACTGCAGTCTGCCTCCCTGGTTCAAGCGATTCTCCTGCCTCAGCCTCCTGAGTAGCTAGGATTACAGGCGGCTGCCACCATACCTGGCTAATTTTTTTTTTTTTCTATTTTTAGTAGAGATGGGGTTTTGCCACGTTGGCCAGGCTGGTCTCAAACTCCTGGCCTGAGGTGACCCACCCATCTCAGCCTTCCAAAGTGCCAGGATTACAGTCATGAGCCACCACGCCCAGCCGTGTGTATGTATGCATGTATGCATGATTGTGAGATGGAGTCTGCTCTGTAGCCCAGGCTGGAGTGCAGTGGTGAGATCTCAGCTCACTGTACTCTCTGCCTCCCAGGTCCCAGTTCAAGTAATTCTCCTACCTTAGCCTCCCAAGTAGCTGGGATTACAGGCACCAGCCACAATGCCCAGCTAAGTTTTGTATTTTTTTCTTTTTTCTACAAATCTCAGTGTATAAAAAGCAAAGCAATAATTTTTATGTTTTTTTATTTTTAGTAGAGACAGGGTTTCACCATGTTGGTCAGTCTGGTCTTGAACTCCTGACCTCGTGATCCGCCTGCCTCAGCCTCCCAAAGTGCTGGGATTACAGGCCTTAGCCACCGTGACCGGGTGCCTTATTTATTTATTTTTTTAGAGACAAGGGGTTGCTCTGTTGGCCAGCCTGGAGTGCAGTGGTACAATCACACCTGACTGCATCCTTGACCTCCTGGGCTCACAATGGTTCCACCTTAGCCTTCTAAGTATCAAGGACCACAGGCTTGTGCCACCACACTTGGCTAATTTTAATATATATATATATATATATATTTTTTTTTTTTTTTTTTTTTTTTGAGATGGAGTCTTGCACTATCGCCCAGGCTGGAGTGTTTGGTGACACGATCTCAGCTCACTGCAATCTCCGCTTCCTAGGTTCAAGGAATTTTCCTGCCTCAGCCTCCTGAGTAGCTGGGACTATAGGCACATGCCCCATGCTTGGCTAATTTTTTGTATTTTTAGTATAAACAGGGTTTACCATATTGGCCAGGATGGTCTCAATCTCCTGACCTCAGGATCTGCCCACCTTGGCTTCCCAAAGTGCTGGGATTACAGGCAGGAGCCACCGTGCCCAGCCACACATGACTAATTTTTTTAAAATGTCTTCATAGAGATGGGTCTGGCTATGTGGCCCAGGCTGCTCACAAACTTCTAGTCAAGCAATCCCCCCTCCTAAAACTCCTGGCCTTCCCTTTTTTATTTTATTTTTTGACTGTGTATTTTGAAACTAGACATACAGGTCAATGGAACAGAACAGAAAACCCAGAATTGTTAACTAATTTTTAACAGAAGTGCTAAGGCATTTCAATGAGGAAAGAGATCGTCTTTTCAGCAAAGTGCATAAAATAATATAGTTCTTTTATAGAAATTACTTGACTTTAATCACAGCAATTTATCGTATTTGGAGTTTTTGTTTTTGAAATGGAGTCTCACTGTATTGCCCAGGCTGGAGTACAGCAGTGCAATTTTGGCTCACTGCAACCTCCGCTTCCTGGGTTCAAGTGATTCTCCTGCCTCAACCTCCTGAGTAGCTGCAGGGATTAGGATTACAAGTGCATGACACCATGCCCAGCTAATTTTTTGTATTATTAGTAGAGACAGGGTTTCAACATGTCGGCCAGGCTGGTCTTGAACTTCTGACCTCAGGCGATCCACCCGCCTTAGCCTCCCAAAGTGCTGGGATTACATGCATGAGCCACCGCGCCCG